TATCCTCCTCCTCCTCCTCCTCCTCCTCCTTTTCCGCCAACTTCGCCTCCTCCCCCTCCTCCTCCTCCTCCTCCTCCTCCTCATGTTCCTACTTCTCCTGCTCCCTCGTCTAAGAAGCCTTCTGGTGAGTCTAACGGGGGCAACGGCCATGGTGCGCGGAAGAGCTGTAAGCTCCTTCCTCGTGGCTCTGGCACGGCGGGCGAGCGGACAGGGAGTGTGGCCGACATGACCGACGGGTCAAGAGGAAGGGGTGAAGGGGGCAGAAACAGTAAGACGAGGCCAGGACGAGGATAAATTCGGGTATCGGGAATCTCTGGAAGACCTCTCGGGCGCCGCGGCTTTCTCAAAGCGCCCCGGAAAACTCTGAGAGCGTTCCCGAACGCTCTGAAACGGATTTATCCTCGTCCTAGCCCCGTCCGAAACAGTCCGTATCGAATCGTTCAATTGGACCCGCTCGAACTGTGTGCTGGATCGGGCTGCATCACCACGGACTCGGATCGGCTACGAGTGAGAGTGACCCTGCGCAGGACTGATTAGACGCCTCCTAGATGGGGTCCGAGTGGATGGGGTCGGAGGATCGCGCCGCATCGTCGATACATCGGCGATGCATCGTCGACGTGGGCGATGAATCGGCGACGTCGACGTGAGGCAAATCGGGCACCACATCGAGCCGCATCGCCGATGCATCGACGATGCGGCGCAATCTTCCGACCCCACCTACTCGGACCCCTTTTAGGCCTAGATTGGTGCTGGTCCACAGGGGGTCGGGTGATTTTCTGCGGGGTTGAGCTCGGCCTCGCGTCGACACCCGCAGCGTGGATGCGCGCGCACCTGAGCGCGCCAAGGTTGGACCCCCCTTCGCAGTCGATGGCAACGCATACCTACGCGGAGCATCCTGCAACGCAAGTTGGCTTCCCGAGAGAGGGGGCTGGTCGACCAGGCGGTGCTTTTCCGCCCCAGGACCGGTCCCGACTCCCAGCCCAAATCCCAAATCGCTCGATTTGAAAATCCTTGAATCGGTCAGAATAGTTTGAAGACTTTGGGGCCAGTGATATTTCCACAATTGAAAAGCACACATAAATATCCAACCGCATACCATGCACTTTTTTAGCCCAGGTTGTGGCCACGACGCAAGACCTGGTTAGACGTTATCGCGACGCGGCCCGGCATTGCCAGACCTCGTCGTGGTGGCCCCCGGCATCGTTGGCTTTCGCAGCGCTTTCGGGATGCCATCGGGGGCGCTCGAATCGAATCGGCGGAATTCCGCGGATGCCCGCCGGCGCTAAAGATCTTTCGAAGCGCGTCCCGCTCATCACTGCGGTGCGACAGCAGCGGCTTGCGCTGTCGGACCTCCACGGGCGCCCCTGAAACTGCGCACCAAAGGTCACTCCGGCACAGGGCTATTTGGATTCGGATTCGGATCGGATCGGCGGCGCCCGGACGCAAACATCGGATACCATCGGGACGCTCGGACATCGAATTCGGTTCGGATCGACCAGGCTGAAATCGATATCGGACCGATCGGATCGTAATGGGCCCTGACCCAGGGAGGGGGGCGGGAACGCATAAATGAGACGGATTACGAAGTGGGAGGAGGGACGTGTGGGGAAGTGATGGGAGCAGGACTAAGCGAGAGGACGGAAGGGGAAGATGAAGGGGAGGAGGGGACGATAATGCCCAGGCAGCGCGATGAGGAAAAGGAGGACAGGAAGGATGATGGGGAGGATGGTGAGGACAAGGATGAGTCGAAAAGGTGGAGGCGATGCTGCAGTTGATGATGGCGATGACGATGACGATGACGATGATGATGTTGACGGTGCTGAGGAGGATGGGAATGATGATGATGATGATGCTGATGAGGATGATGTTGATGATGATGATGATGATGATGATGATGATGATGATGATGATGATGATGATGATGATGATGATGATGATGGTGCTGATGCGGACGGTGATGCTGATTATGGTGCTGCTGATGATGGTGATGATGCGGGAGATGATGGCGACGACGATTATGTGGATGATGGGCATGATGACATTCCTCAATTGTCCCTGAACGTACTCTGATGGCGGACCCACACTCGCTGCGTTGCCCCATGCCGCTTGCAATGCAGTCGCACTCGAGCTTCAGATCCAAACCGCTCCTCGGCCTCTGAGCGGGCGGAAGACCGACGGCGTGCCCTGCCTCGATCACGCTCTAGGCCTCCCAAGGCCTGTGCCAATGGAGGAGTCGGGCGACCGAGTGTGCTGAGACCAAGCCTGGAGCGGCAGCCGCCCAGGTTCGATGCAGACCAGACAAGCCAGAGCGGCAGCCGCCCAGGTTCGGCGACGCAGGCAGAGGCGAAGAGGACCAAGACCATCCAGAACTTGGCTTGGCCTTCCTCCGGAAAAGGCATATCCGCAACGAGAGCAGCGGCGACACGCAACGGCGGGGGCCCGCCTCTGCAGGGCACCCCCGCTGCCAGAGGCTGCCGCCGCGGACAGCAGCAGAAGACAGGATCCACGAGGGGCCGGGGGGAGAGAGCGAGAGGCTGGAGCGACAGCTAGGAGGAGGCACCACCGCCCACCTAGGGCCCAGGGCGGAGCCCCCCCCCCCACGCGGAGGGAAGCTTTACCTTTACACCAGCCATGCGCAGCACCTCTGGGCGGACGTGGCCAGCACGAGCACCACGAAGACCTCGAGGACGACCCAAAGCACCTTACAGCAGAAATGCTACGGCTGGTTCGTGTCGTGCCGACCCCGGCGTTGGTTTCTGACACCGCGGGGATCGTTCAACCTTGAACGATCGGCCGTTTCCGCAACGTCCAATCGTTCAACATCGATCGATTCTGGGCCGCCGCCGGCGTTCAAAGTTGAACGCCGCTGGCGGGGTCGCCGCCGGTCGACACGACACGAACCTACCGTACAGATCGTGGAGGGAGCGGCGCCCGCCAACGCACGGCAACCGCACGGCCAAGCGCGGAGTTCCACCCCACCTGGCCGGGCAGTCCCTGCGGGCACGGTGTGTTGCGCAGGGCACGCGGCCCCGGCAGCCGCCCCCCCCCCCTCGGCCGCTCGGTGGTCCTCGTCGCCCTGCACCCCGCGTCCGCAGCCAGAGCGTCGCTCACGGCGCCTGCGCCTGAAGGCCCCCCGCGGGCGACCACGCGCGGATGGGATCGCGCTTCTGGGCCACGCGCACGGCTCGATCGCGGAGCAGAGGCAAGAAGCAGGTTGGCCCATACCCGTGGCGTGATGACGAGGGGTGGAAAAAGGGGGGATCAGAGGGAGGATGGAGCTGGAAGAAGAGGGATGAGGAAGATGACGAGGAGGTGGGCGGCAGAGAAAGATGGAGACGAGACGAACAGGAGGGCGGGAGGGAGTAGGAGCTTGACATAGTATGATGACAGAGGATGGAGAAAGAGAGGGATGATGAGGAAAGAGGCGGGAAGTGGCAGATGAGGAGGGAAGAAAAATGACGGGGCGCAGGACAAGGAATGAGAGGATGGATGAGAAGAATAAGGGCGGATGAAAGAAAGGAATCGGTGAAGAGGGATGAGGACGAGAGGGAGGAGGAGGAGGAGGAAGAAGAAGAGCAGGAAGAGGAAGAGGGAGAGGAGGAGGAATCTGATGATACTGATGATGAGGAGGAGGAGGAGGGTGAGGAGGATAGGGGGAGGAAGACGAGTACGAGAGGGGGGGCGAGAGTGGATATGGAGGAGGGGAGGGAGGGAAGGGTGGATGGGCGTCACAGAAGCAAGTGGCACACTTGGACTTCGATCGATCGCCCCGCCTGCTCCCCGCTCCCTCGCCTGCCGTGCCGCAGCCACCGTATGGCGCACGCGGCGTCGCCGCCAGGTCTGGCACGCCCGAATTCGCTCGAGCAGCTGCGGACGTCCCACCCGACACCCTGCTCTGGCCCCTTTGCCGGCCGTGCCCCCCTCCTTCCGCTTCACCTCACGGCTCCCTTCTGCTGCAGCGTGCGGCATGGCGCAGCAAGAGAGAGAGAGAGGGAACATAAGGCTCGGGGCATGGACCATGCCCCGATGATCCTGCTTCCTCTCACTTCTTCTTCTTCTTCTGCTGCTGCTGCTGCTGCTTCTTCTGCTTCTTCTGTTTTTTCTTATCCTGCTTCTCCTCAGCCGACAGCTCTTCCCCAGTCCTCTCTGCCCCCCCATGCGAACCCTCCTCCCCCAGCCCCTCCTACTGGCATGCACCTCCCCCTCCCCCTCCCCCTCCCCCCTTCGTCCAAGCTCCTGCCCCTCCCCTAAAACGAAGCCAGGTCGAGGATAACATCGGGTGATGAGAGATCTAGACTCTCTGGGATCCGCCGGCTCTGGAGGATGCTTCGGGCGCCGCGGCCCTCTCAGACCGCGCTTCGGCACGCTCTCTGAGAGCACCCCGGAACGCCCTGGAGCGCATCGTCTTCGCCCCGCCCGATCGCCGCCCCCTCGCCCTCAAGCCATCTCTCGGAGGCCCTTCTAAGAAGCTGGGGGAGGGCTGGCAAATCCGTGGCTGCTAAAACGGTCTTCCCGGAAGAGAAATAACACACTCCCAGAATAAAAGCTCAGCGCCCTTTAGTAGTAAACGGGCTGCTTCCTGGAAGAAAAGCAATCCTTTCCTGGAGCTCCGTTGTAGCAGCCACGGGTTTGCCAGCCTTCGCCTGGCTTCTGACTCTCGGGAGCGGCCAAGAGGGGGGTGTCCAAGAGGGGGGGGTGCAAATCGTGACCGGCGGCATGTGCGCGGCCCAGCGGGGGGGCCAGGGACGTACTGAGATAAGAAGAGGCGCCATGAAATCTGGGGAAATCTCATGGCCCCCGCCATGATATCCACCCCCCCCTAGTCATCACCCCCCTCTTTTCCGCCCCCGAGACTCTCCGGTGGCCCACGGGGCGGGGCCCGGGCAGGGGGAACGCCCCTCGCCCGGGAGAGCGCCCCTGGAGCAACCCCAGCGCTAGGCGCCCCGAGCGCCCGGGGCGCCCTGGGCGCCCAGGACCGGCCGCGGCCTCGCGGCGGGGGGCGGGGGGGCGGAGGGCACTGCGGAGGGGGAGGAGGAGGAGGAGGAGGAGGAGGAGGAGGAGGAGGAGGAGGAGGAGGAGGAGGAGGAGGAGGAGGAGGAGGAGGAGGAGGAGGAGGAGAGGAGGAGATAAGGAGGAGGAGGAGGAGGAGGAGGAGGAGGAGGAGAGGAGGAGGAGGAGGAGGACGAGAAGGAGGAGGAGGGAGGAGGGAGGAGGAGGAGGAGGAGGAGCAGGAGGAGGCGGAGCAAAAGGAGAGGAGGAGAAGGACGAGGAGGCGGCGGCGGCGGACGAGGAGGAGGAGGAAAAGGAGGGGAAGGGTGTCGAGGAGGAGGAGAGGAGGAGGAGGAGGAGGAGGAGGAAGAGGAAAAGCAGAAGGAGGAGGAAGAGAGGGCGAGGAGGGGGAGGGTGAGGGGGACGGGGATGGGGAGAGGGCAAGCTAGGTGCGCTCGCGCCATATCTGACGTCCTACCCTCCCTCCCATCCCTTACCATGGCGTAGATCTCCTCTTTATTCGCACAATCGGATGTCGTAGCATGGCAGATCATGGTGTTAAAGACCAACGCGTAGCATGACATTGCATGGCACATCATGGTGTCGAAGACCAACGCGTAGCATAACATAGCATCTGCGGCCCAAACAATTAACGATTCGATACCGAATGTGTAGTCACTTCCGATGGTTTTTTGGCGGGTTGCATTTTCTAGATTTTGGGGCTGTTTGGAACGATTGAAAACCATGCAATGGCATGGTACTGGAAATAATGACGCCAGCGCTGCAGCGGGAACACGATTCGGAACGAGCGAAAGCGCGGTAATGAGGCCAGCGCTGCAGCGGCAGCACGATTCGGAACGAGCGGAAGCGCGGTAATGAGGCCAGCGCTGCAGCGGTAACACGATTCGGAACGAGCGGAAATCCCAACATGAGACCAGCGCTTCAGCAAGATCCAAATTGTTAAACAAACCCAGCCGGAAACCCATTTCCCGGGAATCTGGTGTAAAAAACAGTGCGCGGAAAGGGGGCCGGGGAGAAAGGCGAGTAATATTCATATTGTGTAATTGTGGATGGGGAGGGGGAGGGGGAGGGAGTGAGGGAGTGAGGGAGGGAGGGCGGAGGATGGAGGAGGGGGAGGGGGAGGTGGAGGTGGAGGGGGAGGGGGGGGAAGAGGAGGAGGAGGAGGAGGAGGAGGAGGAGGAAGAAGAAGAGGAGCAGGAGGAGGAGGAGGATCGCACGCCACTGAGGGAGAAAGATAAGACACCGAAGCCCAGGGGGGGGCCATCAGATAGGGACTTTTGTGCCACCTCGGCGCGGCTCGGCACAGGCAGCGCGCCGAGGGCCAGCGACAGGCCCCTCCCCCCAGGAAAAAAACCCGCCATCGTCCTCTTCGAGGGCTCACCACCTTCTGACTACCTACCAGACCACCCCAACCCAACCCGAAGACCCGAATTTCGGGTTGGGGGGGGGTATGGGTTCCATTCGTGTTTTTTTCGATGTTTCCCGAACCCCCCCCCCACTGGAAATCGAGGGTAAATCTGAGCCTTCGGGTTGGGTTGGGGTGGTTTGGTGGGTGGTGACCTTCTTTGACTTGAAACTTATCTGCGAGGCTATCCGCCTCCGCTCGATTCAACCCGAAAGCCTGGAGACTGTCGGCGAAGCGCAAGCGGCGCCCAGCGTTCAGCGCAGGAAATCAAACGCCCCCCGCGCCCCCAGGCTGGGCCCCGGGCTCGACAAAGGACCCCGAGAAGAGCTCCCACGCCCTCGCATCAGGAGACCGCCAAGGGCCCAGCCTTTGGGGACGGTTGGGATGCTTGGATTTTAGAGAGGCCCGCTTCTTCCTCCGCCCAGGATCGAGCAGCGCGGCCTGGGACCCCGAACAGCTGGCCCTGAAGCCGCGGGCCCCCGCAGGGACAGTCGCATATCCCCCACGCGATGAACAGAACAACAACGGGGTTTGGCCTTCCGAGACCGAGGGGGACTCAAGCAGTGCATGGCCCCCTCGCCTCCAAGGCCTCTGGCGCGAATCCTCCGCAAGCCTACAGAGCTCGGGGCCGAGGGCGTCGGGGGCTCGGGAGGGGCGTCGATGGGGGTCCTGAGGGGGGGGGGGGGGGCGTGGGGGGCGAGGCAGCAGCGGCAGCGTCCTCCTCATTCGGCAACACCTCCACCTGCCCCTCAAAAACAGACCCCCCCTCGAGGGGCGCCGGAGTGAACCCCTGGGCCCCTATGTTGTCGAAGCGCCCCTCCTCCGACTGAAAAACCTCGGCCCGAGTCGCAAGCTTGACCGGTTGCCTGCGCAGCACAAGCGTGCCGTTTGCCAGTCGAACTGTCTGACTACCATGGTGGCTCAAGGCCGCCCTTGCCCTAACCGGCCGATCTGCTTTAGCGTCTCCCGCCCCCTCGAACTCCGAAGCGCGGCGTTCTCGCGCCCGCCCTAGACCCTAGAGAATCAACATGCTACCAAAACCACGCGAGGTTTGGGGCATCGTCGAAATGGAGTGCCCCGCGAGGCGCGAGGGGGGAGGCGCCGCCCGGTTTCGGGGCCAGCCCTCCCACCACCCACCCTCTCCTTCCCTTGCGGAGCATATAAGATAAAAGATATACGAATCGCCTTGATTGCTTGGCTGCTTGGCCTGGCGCCTGGCGCCTGGCGACATGCCACGGTCCGAGATTAGCCCTTGACCTGTAACCCTTAACCCTTAACCCTGATCTCGCATCCCGAACTACGTTGGCCGAGACGTGGCCCCCACGGCCCATGGGCCGAGACCCCATGGGCGGAGACACCAGAGGTCAAATCCCATGGGTCGAGACCCTATGGCCTATGGGCTGAGACCCCAAAATCGCGAAAACCAATCGGCAACGACTCTATGGGTCGAGACCTTGTACCTTGTGGGCTGAGACGCTGAGACCCTGTGGGCCGATACCTTTATGGCCCGAGCGTGGTCCGAGCGTGGCCCGAGCGTGGTCCGAGCGTCCTCCGAGCCTGGTCCGAGCGGCCCCCCCCCCCCCACCCACCCCACCCCACCCCACCCCCACCCCACCCCACCCCACCACCCACACCACACACAGACACACAGACACACACACACACACACACACACACACACACACACACACACACACACCACGCACACACACACACACACACACACACACACACTCACACACACTCACACACACACTCACACACACACACAACACACACCACGCCCCACACCACCCCACGCACCACCACCGCCCCCGCCCCCCACTCCCCACCCCACCCGCCCCACCCCACCCCGCCACCCCCCAGACGATATCCGATATCCTTGCTCCTTGCCCTCTTACCAAGCGACCGAGCGCCCCCTGCCCCCCTGGCATCTGTCCAGGCGAACCGCATCACTAGTCCGTTTACGCCGTCTACTGTCAAACGCTGCCGCGTGGTTCTTGTTGTAGAGTGATAACGCTCCAAAACTGATCGCGCGGTTTTGGTCGGACTTTGGCGATGCTCAAAGCATGTTCGCGCGGTTTTGGCAGCATTGGAAAGGTGCTCGCAAAAGGCCGAGCATCCCGGAAGCATCTTCAAAGCGCCCCAGAACCGTGCGAGCATTTTTTGGGGCATCGTCACAATTCAACCGAAACCGAAGAGCATTTTTTTGAGCATCGTCAAAATTCAACCGAAACCGAAGAGCATGTTTTGGAGCATCGTCACAATTCAACCGAAACCGAAGAGCAGGTTTTGGAGCATCGTCAAAATTCAACCGAAACCGAAGAGCATGTTTTGGAGCATCGTCCAATTTCAACAGAAACCGAAGCATGTTTTGGAGCATCGTCACAATGCAACCGAAACCGAAGAGCATTTTTTGGAGCATCGTCAACCTTCAACCGAAACCGAGGAGCATGTTTTGGAGCATCGTCGCAATTCAACCGAAACCGAAGAGCATGTTTTGGAGCATCGAAAAAATTCAGCCGAACCCGAAGAGCATGGTTTGGAGCATCGTCAAAATTCAACCGAAACCGAAGAGCATTGTTTGGAGCATCGTCAAAATTCCACCGAAACCCAAGAGCAGGTTTTGGAGCATCGTCAGAATTCAACAGAAACCAAAGAGCATTTTTTGAGCATCGTCAAAATTCAACCGAAACCGAAGAGCATGTTTTGGAACATCGTCAAAATTCAACCGAAACCGAAGAGCATGATTGGAGCGCCTGCCTCAAAAAACTGACAAGCATTTTTGGAGCAAAACTAATGTGTTCAACCTTTCACAGAGATGAGCCCATCGGTGCATCGCAATGCTGGGGGGGGGGGGGGGGGGGGGGTGCGTGCTGGGGGGGGGGGGGGGGGGGGCCAGCACCGTGGGTACTCACCGCGGACTCAAATTAAACCTCGCCATCCCTGGGGGGCTGCGATCTGTGAAATGTCGCCACTTTCGAGGCCTGCTGGGGGGGCCCAGCACGGTGGGTACTCACCGCGGATTCAAATTAGACCTCGCCATCCCTTGGGGGGCTGCGATCTGTGAAGCTGTCGCCGCTTTCGAGGCCTGCTGGGGGGCCCAGCACAGTGGGTACCCACCGCGGACTCAAATTAGACCTCGCCATCCCTGGGGGGCTGCGATCTGTGAAATTGTCGCCACTTTCGAGGCCTGCTGGGGGGCCCAGCACAGTGGGCACTCACCGCAGATTCAACTTAGACCTCGCTATCCCTGGGGGGCTACGATATGTGGAACTGTCGCCACTTTCGAGGCCTGCTGGGGGGGGGCAGCACGGTGGGTACCCACCGCGGATTCAAATTAAACCTCGATCCCTGGGGGCTGCGATCTGAAACTGTCGCCGCTTCGAGGCCTGCTGGGGGGCCAGCACAGTGGGTACTCACCGCGGATTCAAATTAAACCTCGCCGTCCTGGGGGGCTGCGATCTGTGAAACTGTCGCCACTTTCGAGGCCTGCTGGGGGGCCCAGCACAGTGGGTACTCACCGCGGGCTCAAATTAGACCTCGCCGTCCCTGGGGGGCTGCGATCTGT